TACAATATCAGTTCGTGCAAACTTTCATGGCTAGAATCTGCAGGCTATTATATGAACAGTATACATACATAAAAAGTTGTGTCCATAGAAAAAGTGGGGAGACAAGGGGCAGGGGAGACTTACAAAGTTCACATTCAAAACAGTAGTATAAAGTGCCCCCCCCCTCCCAAAATGCAAAACTATTTGGAATATACGACTGTACTTACTGCTGTTTCCTGTGCAATCCTTTTCGCAATATCAGATGTTCTTTGATAACGAATAACAGGTCTTCGTTTTAATGCCAAAAAGACAGCTGCAATTCCATCAACAACTCGATCAGAGAAGCGCTGCAAATTTGAATGATCGACAACTGCTGGGAGCATATAAATGTGATTTGATGGCATATTCAAAGTGAAATGGTAAGGATCGCTGGCAACAAAGTCTGCGTAGAACTCCTGCAAGACCAAGACAATAATTGAATCTAATATGAAGAGTAAGAAACTAAACCAACATATGAGGTGTCATGACAACTATACTATTGTTATTGTACATTGTTATTCTTATTATTAGAGTGACATAACCACTATGTTGCACGATATTTATTTTTTCGTCAAGGAAAACTTTACTGCAAACTGGATCTGTCTAATCATGCATTAGAACAAGGATGTATTATTATTATTTCTTTAAAAGAATGTATCAGAACAAGGATTTAATGGCAAAATGAAACCAATTCCAACCGTCAAAGGACAGAGCGACTATATTTGAACCAAAAACAATACATTTTGTATCAAGTTCCTTACAAAAGTGAGTAAAAGAAAACCTGGCACCCTCTTGATATTATAAGCTGACACAAAATTTACCTTGTCCCTATTTTCCTGTTACTAGCTTACTATTTATTATAGTATTCTCAAATTTCAGTTATCCAAAATAAAATTCGAACTCTCAATTCAGTTAGCAATTGACATTACTACATACATAAATTATCAGATAATCCGAGAGAATGAGAGAGGAAGCATTTTAGTGAATGATGAATTACCTGAAGTTGCTGCACAACTTCGTGCTCATCTGAATCAGCTAAAATATGAATCTGGGTATCCTTCAATATGTTGGAGAAAACTGTAAATTCCAGTATAGCATGAGAAATGAGCTCCAAATAATAGTCAACTCATCTAGGTATCTTCCAAACTCACTCCATAACCAAAATAACATGCAGAAAGCAAAACTTACACAGGTGATACTCTCCAAACCTAGGAGCAACCAAGTGCCGGCGCAAATACTGGATATTCTCTGAAGTGGGTGCAAGGAAGTAAACGGCTTTGAGATGAGACATGGATTCTCTGGACTTGGAAATGGAGTCAACCAATTCCACCAAAAACACTTCTTTCTGAAGAAGCTCGGATTGCGAATACGCCACACTCACTATACTAACCTACACCCCATTCAATTAACAGAACAACCCATTATTTACTGAATTAAAATATGCCATTTTCATTGATTTCCATGCTTAAGAAATTCATAAACATTTCATTTGTGTTTTGCGTTTGTTTCAATGATTGGTAGTTGAAAGCGTTGTTACCGTGTGGGAATCAAGGATGAGAACCTTCATGCCGGAGATGTCCTGCAACATCCGGCTTATGTAATCCCGTACGGCTGAGACCAGCACCATTTTCAGATCTACGGCTAAGATCTGACGTCTATGCCGGTGCTGATGATAATGATTTCTTAAACGGTGTGTCAAATTGTGTGCTAGAGATGAGAAAGATGCAGATCTAAGAAGACGAGGAGGTTGAATTGGGAAGTGGTCTCCGAAAACACACCGTTTGGTGTCGTCGCCGCAGTTTGGTCTCTCAACGGTATGTTCTTGGCGGTTCAATGCCAAGGGCAGGGTGGGCTACTGCCCAGCCCAAATTTTTCCAAATAAAAATAGCTGCATATGTTAGCCCAGCCCAAACTTTAAAAAAAGAAAAGAAAAGAGGAACTCTGTACTCATGCAATGGGGATATCATTTTTTGCTACTCCGGTCAATGACGTAATGACACGTAGGATAACTTTTTCACGTGTCATTGTGTTATTGGCATGGATAGCAAAACACCATCCCCTTTACAAGGAAGGTTTTTTGCTTAGGTGGGCAAAGCTTCTCCTAAGGCAATAAAATAGTATACAAATTGCTTGTTTTAATGCTGAGAAAGTTTAAAGCTGACTTCACTCTTCTAGTTGCCCTTTTTACCCCTCGTTAGGTATTGTTTTTTTTTTTACCCATTCTTTTTCTCATTGTTAGTACAAAGAAGAAAATCTCTACTTTAAAAAAAATATAATTGCTTGTGAAGACAAAAGATAATAGTCTTCTTAGAGCATCTCCAACCCCCTCTTCAACAATTTTGGAATGCTAAAATAGGTGAGTCACATCATCAAAACCCTCTCCAACAGCCTTGTCAAACTCAATCATCAAAATTGCAACATCTTTCTCTCTCTTTATCACTGGTAAGTTGACCTTGGCTCTTCAAAATATTTAATTTAATTTAATTTTCAAAAATTAAAACATACCTTGAAAATGTTAAAAACATGCATTTTTTTTCTTTTCAAACAATAAATACATAGACATTTTTCACATGTTTTCATATTTACATTCTTTTCTATAATATTGCATTAATTGAATTGAAGAGTTTGTTGGGGCATAAATTATTAAAGTAGGAAACAAAGCTTTTCAAATTGGCATTTAAGTCAACAAACTTCAATTTGAAGAGTAACTATTGTTGGAGATGCTCTTATAGTTTCCTCTTATAGTTAGTTACTTTTTGTGCATGACTATGACTTCTAATTTGATATTTTCTTTTCTAGAGATTTGGAATCATAAGTTTTGAATTTGGTTTTTTTTTTTAATCAAGGAAAGTTTTAGATTTGGTCTTTTTCATTGATTTTTGAGTGAATTATTTAGCTTTCAATGGGGAGGAAAATGGTGTTAAGCTTTCGTTTGGGAGTTTGGGAGGGCCAGAATCACTTATAGAGAGAAACATCTCACACGTGCTTCTCCATGTAATCACTTTAACCCTCTGTTTGGATAAAGGAATTGAAAATTACATAGAATTATAAAATGACGGAATTTAGATTTCCATAATTTCTGGCAATTGAAGATTTCAATATTTGGATTTATGTATGTTAAATTTTGTAAATGACACTATGGAAATTGTGAGATGACGCCTATTTTGGTGGAAATTAAAGTCAAGAATTTGATGCCCCAATTTTCACGATTTTTTCCACGTGTCATTTAATAAATTCCACGCTTAAGTTGCCAAACAATGGAATTGTCAATTTCTCCTATCAAATTCCCTATTTTTAGCTAAATTTCGAGTTATTTTCCCTCATCCAAATGGAGGGTACGTGATTTTAAGCGATTCTGGGGAGAAGTACATCTCATGCGATTCTCCATAAAATCACTTAAAATGATTATATGGAGAAATGATTATTGGTGAATCACTCCGAAATGAGACCTTAGAGAGTAAATAGTAATTTACATATGTTATAATGATATATATTAGGATTCAACATGAATCAGTCTTGCTTTTTTCTATAGGGATATATCATACCAATAGAAAAACCAATTAATAAAGTTAACAAAATTATCTTCTCGCAAAGAAGTTTCACTAAAGCATTAAAAATTATTTTTTTGGTGCCAAATTTAGGAGTTCATATGAAATTAATTAAGACGCAAAATTTTCCAAACATTCTAAAAAAAATTGTGTTCCTTGAAGAAGAGTGTAGATGATTAAAAAAACAAAGTTGGGGACGTGCCATTATTACATTATTATTCTTGTCCGTTGTACTTTAAAATTCTTTTAGCACATTACTCAACTTTTTTGACCAATCATTTTATCCCTATTTACTCTCCTATAAAAACAGTTTTTAAAAAAGGTTAATTATAGTTTAGTATCTTGTAGTTACACCCTTAAGACATGTTAGTCCATGCCTTATTAATAACACACCCTTAAGACATGTTAGTCCATGCCTTATTAATAACATACCCCGGTCTTTTTACAATAACATACCCCGGTCTTTTAAATTTGTTACAATGTGGTTCTATCGTTAGGTTTCTGTCAAATCTCTTTATTAGTTACCTACGTGGCACTATGGGTCCTATATTTTCTTCTTCCCCCCATTCCCCCATTACCACCACCTACAAGCTCCAACCCCCAAACCCATCCCACAACCACCCTCCACCCCAGCCTGCAACCACAGCCCCCACGAATCCAGAACCCCAGCCCCGATTTCTTCCCCCCTTAAATCAGGTTGAAAATTAGTTCTATTTGCAATATTATGACAAGCAGTTGCATATTGACCTTCCAAATTTGAGGATTTTTACTGCAAGATGATTGTCATGCTCCGCCGTAGCACGATATTGTCCGCTTTGGGCACCCCCTCTCTGCCCTCATGGTTTTGTTTCTGGGAACTCACGAGCAACTTCTTAGTGGGTCACCTATCATGGGATTGTTCTAGCTTAGCCCCAACTCGCTTAACTTTGAAGTTCTCATGAATCCAAAGCTAATGAGCTCCCAAAAGGCCTCGTGCTAGATGGAGGCGGGCATGTACATATAAGGCACATCACCCCCTCTCCGTTGGTCGATGCGGGATGTTACATAAATACCGTCAGGTTGGGGTTCGGTGAGCTGGGGTTTTGGGTTCTTTTGGGGGTGAGCGAGTTGGGGTTCTGGGTTTGGCGAGTAGAGATAACATATAGGGGTAGAGAGCAGAGTGGTTGGTGAGCTAGGGTTCTGGGTTCTTTTGGGGGTGGGAGAAGAAAATCACAGGGGGAAGAGGGAAGAAGAATTTGAGGATTTTTTTTAATGCAAAATTTTCCCAAAAAAAACATTTAAATCAATTTAAAATTAAAAAAAAGTAAAAAATGTGGGACTCATAGTGCCACATAGGCAACTAGCGGAGAGATTTGATAGAATCCTTAACGTCGGAACCACATTGTAACAAATTTAAAAGACGGTAGGGACTAACATAAAGAAATAAAGAAGGTAGCGTACTAAACTATAATTAACTCTAAAAAAATAAATTAAGTTATAAGCATAAGTGTGTGAAAAAGGGTGATGAATTATCCAAGTAAGACCCATTAATTTCTCAAAAAAAACAAAAGTTATATATATATAAAATAAAAAAAAGAGAGTAAAAGACTTACCATAGATGAAAAAACTTATATTTGACCCAAATAAATGAAGAAATATGGCTCATTTTGCCTATTTGGGGCAAATTAAAGGTAAAATTTGTTTAAAACAAAAGTCAATGACTTGAGATTTTCGTACATTGACCAGTCTCGCTGAAAAAGACCCAGAGCATGAAAATTAACCGCCTCTCTCTCTCTCACTCAAACTCTTCAAACCCAAAAGCTCGCTTCCTCTGACCTTCTTCATCACAGATCACAGATCACAGATTCGGTTGGAATCATTTTCTGGAATTTGTCTCTTTCCAATTTTTTAAGTTTTCTGTTTGACCATCTTCTGCTTCCATTGTTTTTGTAAAATCAGCATATCAGACTCAGATGGTGCCTCCCTCATGCTTCAACTGAACCAGCAAAGATGAGAGGGCCTTCCCCAAGTCCCATTGAGCCCAGACACCGCCTATCTTCTTCAGCTAAGTCAGTCTCTCTCTCTCTCTGTTTTTTCTCACTTTTTTTAGTGTAATTTGACTTCATTTTAATTTGAGCGTTTGATTTTTAGTACCACAATTAGGACCAAAAAAAAAAAGGCATGTAAGAAATGCCCCATTCATAAACAGTCTTAACCTACGCGGTTTAATTCCAATGCATCTCTGCTTCTGTTGGTTCATGATTTTAGTACTCATTTTTTGTTCATTTACCAATTTCACTAGATGGGTTGGTTTCCTTCTTCATTATATATGTATACGCATACAGATCAAGGCTTTTTAAATTGGGGGGAATTTTTTTGTTCGCACTTAATTTGGGTCATGATTCATGAATATGGATGAATAGCAGGAGTTGAAAGAGGTTTTATTCTGAATTTGAACTTGTCTTGGTTAAGTGAGGTGTCATGCTAATAATTTGGCCACAATTTACACTGTTTGAAAGGGGCATTACAAAATCTTGAGCAACATTTTCAAATTGTGCGGCTTGTACAGGGTCAATGGTCATGGTTCATTTTGATATCAGATTCTTGGGCTCTTGCTAATGTAAATTTTGCAAATGATCTGAGCGCTTTTATTTGTAATGTGCTGAGTGGTATGTAGAACATTCATATATGTGCTGTTTCCACATTTCAATGTGCAATGCATTTCCGATGATGGAGTCGATTGCAGGGCAGTTGCTTGTCTTTTGAGTGGAACTTGTTTCCAATCACTTATTTAGTGCTCTATCTAGTTTTTTCCATTCCATTTGTTGTTCTTTGCACTTTGTTTCACTTGCCATGCAGACATGTGCTTATGTTGTAGTGAATCCATTTTTGTTTCAGTGAAGACTCTAACAAAAGAAGGCCCCAGAGAAATAAAGTTCTTAAAGATATAGAAAAGGTCCTCCATGTTCCTGCCCAAGATAGAAACTTAAACTGCAAGCCCACCTTGAAACTTGTGTTGGTCGTTATTATATTGGGGACTTTTGTGACACTCTTTGTCTCTCCTGCTGTTTATAGTACTGATCATCAATCCAGTTCCGTATCTCGGTATGTCCTATTAGCTGATCACCTTGCTTTCACTTATTATTTCATGGCATCAGTTTATTCTTTGTTACTTCTTGCTTCAATCAAAAGACTTCATTGTTGAGATTTTCAATAATATATGTTTTCCCCACCTGGGAAAATATGTTGTCAGGAATTGGAAAATCCATCTTTTTAGTTAGCAGTCAAAATGAAATTGTTTTTTTTAAAATTTGTTTATAAATATTTTTTTGGCTTTGCTCTCTTTC